CCCGCAGCCGGCTGGGTGGGCCGGCGCAGGGCCCCTCCGCCCGCCGCCGCCTCGCTCGGCTTGGGTCTTGTATTATTTTTTTTGTATAGTCCACAACTGGACAGGCTGCTGGCCCAAACATGAATTTTATACCTTCGTTTCCTCTTTTTAAATTTCTCAAGTGCTAGGCCAGGGAAGTGGTTGTGTCCGTGTTTAAGGACACGTGTATCCCCAGGCCTGGAAAGCCAAGGTGGCTCGTCCCCAAGGATAGGACTGGCCACAGAGACCCGGGCTCCTCACAACACCCATGACTATGGATTGGGGTCTTGGGGATGCGAGCGTGGCTGAGGAACACAGCTGCCCCTGCTCCTCCTCCACCACCATCTGCTTTTTGGGTTCTCTTTCAGTTGTTGTGCTTCGGTTTCAGAAAGCCGTTGGCCCAGCGGGTGGTTCCTGTTTTTCTTGCCTCGGCAGCTCTAGCTGGAGACTGCCATTGTGCTCATGCTCACGTTGCTGTGCCTGGGGCCCCCTCCCCTTGGAAGACTCCTCTATTTGTCAGTTGGGAGTCCCAAGGGTGAATCTGGGGATTCCAGGAGATGCCTCCCATCCTCAGCACCGAAAGAGGGACAGAGAATGTTACTTTAAGGCTCATCAGCACTTAGGAAGCCGGTGTGAACTCTGCAGAAGGTGAACCTGTACAGCAGCAGTCAGCTGCAGCCTGCTTTTGTAAATAAACTCATCAGAACACAGCTCTGCCCATTCCTTTACATATTGTCCCATGGCAGAGGTGAGCAGCCCTGATTACGACCTGATGGCAAACCCTATTACATTTGCTATCTTTATTTGCCCTTTATGGAAAACAGTCTGTTGACTCCTGCTCTACAAAGCATAAGGCCTCCCTTCCCAAAGACCCACATAGGCACAAAGGGCTGAGAGTGCTATTCTTTTATATATGTGGAGCCCCATGGAGTAGACTTCGTGGGGTGAGACCTTTCTAATGTCAATCTTCTGTCTCCTCATTTATTCATCTAACAAATATCCACTATGATAATGCAGTCTCAATACCACAATCCACTCCCAGCCTACAGCCAGCCCTGGATCACGGGCAAGCTTGTGCCTGGTATACCTAGGAAGGTCTCCTGACTTGAACTGGGAACCTTCTCATGTGTGATTCCTTTCTGGAATGTTGACTTTTACTCCTGATCCCTGTCTGGCCCCCTGCATGCTGCTTATTAAGTGCCTAATTTGTGTTAGGCACTCATTAAGTGCTTTGCTAGTGTGTGTTAGTTAGTCCTCCCAATGGTCCTATAAGGTAGGTACCAGTTAGCATCCCTGCTTTACAAGTGGGAAACAGAGATGAGGAGAATGGAGGAGAATGGTGGAACCAGGATTATGTACACAGAACCTGACTTCGGGAGCTGTCACTGTAACCATTTGCCTATGCTGCCCACAGCAGG